AGGATTTTCTAATCTAAAATTGTATTTATATGCTAACCACTGAGAATACTTCATGATATTATGTGTCTTGACAATATTGATAGCTTTAAATTTGTGCAACGATAGGTAGCATTCTACAGAGACGTTTAAGAAAAAAAGGTGGGAAAACATACCATTTAGAAACTACTAGATATTTATTAAACCAATAGGCAGCAAAATTTTATAGATTTAATACAGAATGACGCGTAAATATTTTTTTCTTTAATTCCTCTTAAAAATTTTCAAAATAAATACTTTTTGAAGGTTTACAAAAATCAAGTTTGGTTATTATTTGTATTTCCTTAAAATTTCACAAAAATCAGACTAAAAATAAAGGCTCAGAATGAATTATAAATTTTCGAGGTGTTCGGTTTGCTCTTAAATCCGTAATACTTTGGAAATATTTTTCATTTAGAAATTTTGATAATTATCCGAGTTCTATGATTCCTGGTTTTATTTTAATAATGCCGGGTTCTGATTTTTACTTTCGAAGGTTAATTTGATTTTATTTATTAAAGCCAGTCTTATTTTGAGTTCCTAAAATATTTAATTTTGTTTTTTTATAAACCCTGATTTCTAACGGTAACTCGGTATTGTTTTTATCACTTATTACGTGTAGCACTCGAGGTATTATCCGGAAATTTTATTTCTTAGTTTAGGATTTGTTATCCGAGTAATTTTTTATTTTTTTTTTATAATTCATGTGTTCTAACCGTAACTTGGTCTGGTTTTTATTAATTGTCACGTATAACACACGAGGTAGTATCCAGGAATTTGATATTTTTAATTTAAGATTTATTATCTGAGCAATCAACAATGTTTTAACATATTCCCTATGTTCTAGTCGTAACTCGGTCTGATTTTTATCACTTGTTACGTATAGCACTCGAGATTTTATTCTGGAATTAAAGTAGCATGGATTTTACGTTTTTGCAAGAAATTAAACTATTATTAAATTCAAAATTGTGAATTTCATATATCGTAGATCGCAAATCGAAATCCGAAAGATGTAATGGTTGGAACCGTTTTCGTTATTTAGACCCAAACATTGTAACGGTTGGAACCGTTTTCATTGTTATGACGCAAACATCTCTACTCTAATGTCATTTGTCGTTTATGCCTTGTGTCAAAAGTTCATTTTCATTTCGATTGTCAACGAATTGTCAACGAATAAGTTGATTTAAATTTTTAATTATCTGGTTCATCCGATGTACTAAATAAATTTTATCTATCGTATAGGCCGTCTGATTTTGTAAGGTAAGTTTGAATACCGATATATTGTTGAAAATATATATTTTCTACAAAGATTTCTTAATTAAAATGTCAAATTTTAAACATAACCTCAATACACGAGTAACCCAAGATAAAACGTTTTATATAATGTTATCTATTATTTTGTTAGGAAAGAAATATCATGCTTCACTATATTTAAATATGTTAAATAAGACTTTTCCTTTTCATATTAATTTTAGTCTCTGTGAAACTATTCACTTAATAGTTTAAATTGTTCAATTATTAGTTAAAGGCATTTTATCTGTTTCCTATGCAAATCTCCTAGTTCCTTTCTTAATATGTTTACCTTTTCCTTGTAGCCTGGCTATATCTAGACGGTTTAGAAGTTTAGTTCAAGCTGTATCGAAGAAGTTCATTTCGAGTCATATCTTAGAAGTTTAATTCAAGATATATCTAAGCTGTTTATGGGGATTTCTATCTCAGAAGTTTAGTACAAGTTACATCTAAAGAAGTTTATTTCGAGCTATATCAAGAGGTTTGGTTCGAGTTACATCTAAGGAAGCTTCTGAAGATTTAATTTTATGAAGATTTATACCTAGGAGTTTGGTGCTATCGTTCGAGTCCCTTTGAAGAAGGCCTATACAAATCACTCCTTATATACTACCTCTTGTTACAACAGATAAGTCTATTTTTAATAAATCATCTAAATTTGAATAAGTAAATCTCTGTGAATTAGAATTTGTTGCTACCTTATCTAAACCTTGAGAAAATAGGATTGGAAGGGTCGCTATAGGCATTTCCTTAGTGCAGTGGCGATAGAAGGGGACACAATAGATCTTTTAGGTCGCAGTGTATTAACATCCCATTCTCAACATAACATAACATACCTTATCTAAAACTTTGTTTAATTATAATATCTTAATGGTTAGTGATTTTCTATATTTTTATCACTAATCGATAGTCAAGTTTAGTAAGTTTTAAATATAGTGGTGCCCAACATTCTTTTTCAAAGTAATACGAGTTATTTAATAACCTGACCCACTCCCAAAAACATTAGAGCTTAAAACACTATAAAAAATAGATAAAATAACAAGTATCAAATTACAAAGAACATAATTATCTGAAATAAAATGTAGAAAAATTCTGAAAATTCTGAAAGTAATTTAAAAAATCTCCCTATGAATTATTATGACGATCTGTACCATTGTGTACTTTGAGTTTTGGATGGATCTCTACATTTTGAGGTCCCTTGAATCAGATTTTTCTATTTTCGCGATGATGTCTGTCTGTTTCTGTGTGTATGGGGGTGTCTATATCTACGGTAACTTAAACACGGATAAAGATAAAAACACCAAACTTAAATTTTAATCCATCCTGCGATATTCTTTAGATTTTGGGCATAGGGAATCGTTCTTCTATTTAAGGTATATTTCTGTAATATATGATTAGGGAAGAAAATTATATGAATAAGAATTAGTTGTGATGTCATTCACTATAAGTTTTCTTCCATACATGATTTCTCTAAAATGAACATGTAACTTCACAGGAAAATTATGTATTAAACACATTATATTTTGTTAATTCCTACACTATCCAAGAGTTCCATGTACAATGCTTCTGCCAGTGATAGAATGATGGATTGCGGGTTAATATTACTTTAGTCGGGCTATTTCTTATTCAAGCAGTGTGGATCTGTAACCCCTAAATAAATTAGATCGGACTAGCGTTTAACCAGCATATGGTGTAGGTGATAAAAGAATGAATGAGACTAGCTAAGTTTCCAAATGGTGATTAGCACGCTAAGGACTACAGTGTCGGGTACAAGGGCCAACAATCTATACCAACCGATAATCCGAGTAAAACTAAGTAGAAGTGTGTTGTAATGAACATTGAACTGTTAGCTCACATAATAATTCACCGTAGAATGAAGCAACAATATGGAAATTCATGTTTACCATGCTAGTAAATGTATAAATTCAACAACAAGCTCCGTAAATGTTGACCCTTGAAGTCTTAAAATATGGAGCCTTATTCTGTACATCACATTCGGCGGACGTAATTGTGGCCGATAATCTTCTCACCTACGAGGGCGGATTGAAATTAAACACAAAAACTTTTTTTTAGAAATTGCGATCCGTCAAACGTAATCAAGCGTAATCCTGTTGATTTTTGGCGTCGATTAATAACTATTGATGAAACGTAGATCCACCACTACACACCTGAAACCAAAAATCAATCGAAACAATGGGTGGAAGCTGGTGGAAGTACTCCGAAGAAGGCGAAGACAGTGAAATCAGCTGGCAAGGTTATAGCCACTGTATTTTGGGATGCACACGGAATATTTCTTATCGATTATCTTGAAAAAGGATCTACAATCACAGGAAAGTATTATCGTGCATTATTGGATCAATTGATTGATACAATCAAGAAAAAACGACCACATTTAAAGAAGAAAAAAGTGCTCTTTCTTCAAGACAACGCACCGGTTCACACAGCATTAGATACGATGCTAAAATTACGTGAAATACACTTCGAATTGGTTGATCATCCACCTTATAGTCCAGATTTAGCTACTAGTGACTTTTTTCTGTTTCCAAACTTAAAAAAATGGCTCGCAGGAAAAAGATTCATCTCAAACGAAGAAGTGATTACCGAAACTAACGCGTATTTTGAGGGGTTCAAAATCGTATTATTCAGATGGTATCGTCTTACTAAGTGTATTGAGCTAAAAGGAGACTATGTTAAGAAATAAATGGTTTTTGAAAAAAAAATGTTTTTTTCCTACTTAGGTAGCTTCAACATCAATCCGCCCTCGTACCTACCTACCCAAAGTAAAGAGTTATTCTAATGACATAAGTAATTTCGGCCGAGAGTTATGTTTATGATAGAATTTTGAAATATACTTGAAATACTAAACAAAATTGAGATTAATATTACATCGGTAACTTGTGAGCTGATTCCGGGCCTCAAAGGTTAGGTAAATTAGTCAAGTTTTTTTTTTTTAGTTGTTCTCATTTTATGTTTATTTTTTGCAAAGCAAACCCTGATAGCTCTAGGACGCACAGGTTAGGTAAATTATTTAAGTTTTTTTTTATTTTTCTTATTTAATTATCCGACTTCAATTCGTCGGTATATTTTTTTTATGTGTGTTTAGCGAGAATTCTTTAACACGAATGAGTCTTTTTTGTTAGTAAGGGGGTAGCTCAGGGGTGATCCCATATAAATCTGGTTAAGATGCTTGATTTTGAAGTCGGCTTTTTAAAATTACTTTTAATACTTGTTTTAGCTAAAGTTTTGAAGCAATATTATGTAAGTTTCTATATTTAAGTTTTATATACGTTCTGCTTTTTGTCTTTGATTTTGGTTTAATCAAAAAAGATGTGTAGCATTTATAAAACATATTTTATTTTACCTAGTCCTTTCTGCCGAAAATTTAAAAAAAATGATGAAGTAATTTAGACAGTACTTGAGTGGCTTTGAACATAATCAAGTTAATTTTTTATTCTGGTATTAACGAGTTTTCAAAAAATACGAGGACATTTAAAGAAAATAATAGGGGACTACGTAGAAAAATAATTGGATATAAGCTATCAAAAATTTTATTGAATAAATATTTTAGATTTTATTTTTGATAAAAGTTGCATCCATTTTCAATTTTTTTACTCTCCCTAGCCGCTCCGTGTTAACGTTATTACCTATATATGATAATTAATTATGAAAACAATCTTTAGAAATAAAACGTGACTTACGATGGTGGTTGGACAGTAATATTGCCATCTGGTGACGTAGGTGAGTCTGCCTGTTCAGTAAGATGTCTCCTTGTGGAAGGCAAGGATTTGGCGATAGAAGGATTGTATATTTTGGGATCACTAACCATGCGTACGAAGAAACTGCGTTTTTGAGCCAAAGTTTCTTTCTTCTTTCTTTCCAGAAGATCGAACACTTCATCGTGTAGCTCCTGAAAATAAAAATAACAAACAATTAATTACGCTTATAGTGTACAATCACGCGCCTTCAGCTTTTTAAATTATATTAATATACTCTATTTTATAGCAATATTTAAACAAATAATTGAAATGTTTTTTCACATATTTTAATGCTGAGACGTTAGCTTTTAATTTTAAAATCACTAGTAACAGTAAAAGTAGTTTATACAACAAAAGTGTATATGATTATGACTGAGTGCGACATGGTTAATCCATTCGAGTTCTGTATAATATATTTTTTTATGCGGCCCATTAAAAAATCTACAAAATTTATATAACAAATATTTTAAAAATAAAAACAAAACACATAGATTTGATGTTATGGTGAATAAAAGAAAATAAATCTCACAAAAATGTTTTTTTATTGTTACTGGCTTCCAAGTTAACTTTACTTACTATCATCAAAAATAAAGAAACAAAATAAAAAAGTACAAGGAACGAGTTTATATAAAATATTTGTTTATTAACAATAACTAATATTACCACTGTTTAAAGAGTAGAGATATTACTAATCAAAACAAGATTGTAACAATAATTATTACAGGTAATATTCTTTGAAAAATTATAAAAAGTAAGATGAAGATCTTGTTAAAAAGTAGAACATTGACAAAAAAATAGAAAATATAATAAAACTAAAAAGATTGGAAAGTCACCATATTTTTTGTATGCTAGGAAAACCAAAAAATTACAATAATTAAGATGGAAAAGAAGTAGTTTTTTAAGGCGTCTATTTTAAAGGTCATTAGGTTTTTTTTATTTTAAAATTTGTTTATATAGATTTATAGTTTTTTAAAACATCAGGCATCCTTTTATAAGTGTTATTTAAGCATTGATGTATGTTACTTGGTAAGTTCAATTAATGTCATTTCAGGTCATATTTTGGAAATTCTAATAGTATATATATGATCAGTAGTTTGAGGAACTCTACAAATTTTACATCTATGCTGATGTTCTCTTAGTAATAAATAAGCTGAGGTAATTCTAGTATAAACACTTTTTCTCTTCTTGTTAATAATTGGGGGTAGGTCCATTGTTCCATAGATAGTTTCACTTTGCTTAATTTACCAGGGTGTTGTCTCCAATTATGTTGCCATTTAATTTGTATTCTGATTTGCTTCAAGTGGACCATTAAAACGTTCCTTATATTAATTGGAAATATTTCGGACATAGGTATAGGAGAGAAAGTTTAACCCCACCTATCGGCAGCTGCTATCTTCCCGGCTGTGATTACGTCCCAACCGCAACTTGGGTGCCCACGGTGTTGCCAAATGATAATACGTCAATTTGTAAATTAAATTTGTTTGGTTATGTTCTGTTAAACTTAGTATTTGTACATCCTTCATGTGATAAAAGTGAAATACGAGAAATTCAATATGGAATTTGTTTGTGATGAATGCAACCATACTTTTAAGCTGAACGTGAGTGAAATCCTCTTTCCAACCAACTGACACAGATCAAAGAATAGGCATTCTTGCTTCTCAGCTTAATATCACTTCTTATACCAAATAAACCTAAGTACCGATTGATTTTTTTAATAAACACAACAATTAATTAAAATGCATATTTTTCTGAAACATGTTCACAAATATTGGTAAAAGTATCTTTTAAATTGCCACCATATATTTCGTACCACATGAAATGGTCTATAACTGATTGTACAATCTATTTTTCTATGGTACAATCAGAAAAAACACAGCCGAAGTAAATAACAAATTTAACTTACAAATTGACGTATTGGCATTTGGCACGTAGCTTTTTAACACGGATGTTTAAATAATATGCACAATATGTGAACACGTTTACTGCGTACACAATTCTGCACTTGGATGCACTCAAAGCAGTCTGGACAAAATTGTATTAAAATGTAAAGCACATTGAATACTTTAATAAAATCTCGCTTAATAACCCACAAAAAGTATTCTTTCAAAAATTTTAATGGACATATATTATTAAAACAAATTAAAAAAACATGCCTTCAATGAGTTATTTGTACCATCATGGGAACCTGGCTTTCTGTCAAAATATCAACTTGAAATCTTTAGGAAAACTTAAGCTCTATAATTATTAATTATAAAAAAATCTGATTGAAAATGAGGAGCCTGTTAAACTGTGAAGAGTATAATATATGTAGAATGCCAAGCATTATATGTATATCTTCATTCTAGTTATTGTTTGTTATTCAAAAGTTGTACTCTTTTCAATACAGTAGAGCGTCGATAATTAATTCGGACGTCAAAAATTCGGACCGTCGATAATCCGCATTCAAATCCGTTGAAAAAAAAGTTGAAGTGAATACATAAGTACATATCGCTTATTTGCTGCAAGAACGTCATAACACAAAAATGTTTATTTTCTTACAGAATGCTAATTTTCGAGATAACTGTCATAATTAAAAAATTATATCTTGAACAATATTGAAAGGGTACTTTCCTTATAAGGAAACAACGACACTTCCGTAGTTATGGTATTCGCTTGACGGCGCTACTATCATAGACATTTTTCAAGTTTAAATATGATAAATTAATGTATTAAAGTTTTTCTAGTTGTGTCGGTATTCTCGGAAATGAGCGCGGAAAGTAATAAAATATTCATTTGGCCTAATCGAGTAACGTATTACAGCAAAAATATAGTCAAAATACGAAATAAAGCATTTTTAGATATCCGAGAGACGAAATTGAAATTGTAGAATTCTGATTAGAAGAAAACCATTGTATCGATTTAAGTGACATATAATGGCGATTATAAAAAGTTCAGATGTGACACTTTACCAGATAATAGTGCTTTTCTTCTCGATTTTTATTGTGCCAATAACTGAAAAAAAATCTGATGTGTCCAACACATGACTTTCCTATCTAGTTATTATAGGCATTTTCCGGTTATTTTGTACAACCTATTGCAGCATCTCTATAAATGTTTGGAGGATAAACTAAATATATACATTTTCCACATACATCTACCTCGAAACATTTTTCTATAGATATTCATTGAAAACGAAAATACAGAAAAATTTAAATTTAGCACTTTTCCATTACGGTCCATTTTAGAAAAATCATATATAAACAAAAATTATAGAAATCGATATCGCAAACAACTTTTAGTTCAACAATTTTCATAAAAATCAGAATTTTGCACATTTTGTCAAATTTCTCGAATGCGGACCATTTCAGGAAATTTTAACATAGAACAAAAATTATAGATAATAATATTAGAAGTAACTTTTATTTGAACAATTTTCTTCTCCAAACATAAATAACAGATATATTCCATAAAATATAAAAACGGCCTCCCATAAAGTACCCCCCCCAGATGTTCCGACTTTGTCCAAAATCTAATCATTTCACGTCAGGCCGAAATAAACCTTAAGTTTAAAATTTAATGTTTTTTCCTTTATCCGTTTTTGAGTTTTCTTCAAATTTCGAAATTTACACATTTTCTCAAATATCTCGAATACGGTCCATTTTAGAGAAATTATGTATAGGACAAAAATTATAGAAAATTATATTACAAACAACTTTTATTTGAACAATTTTTATAAAAAATTATTTTTTTTACATTTTGTCAAATTTCTCGAATACGGACCATTTTAGGAAAATTTTGCATAAAACAAAAATTATAGATAATTATATTAGAAGTAACTTTTATTTGAAGAATTTTCTTCTCCAAACGTAAATAACAGATATATTCCATAAAATATAAAAATGACCACCTATAAAGTACCCCCCCAGATGTTCCGACTCTGACCAAAATCTAATCAGCTCATTGGACGCTGAAACAAAGCTTAAGTTTAAAATTTGGTGTTTTTCTGTGTATCGGTTCATGAGTTATGCGTTATACAGACACACACACACACACACACACACACACACACACACACACACACACACACACACACACACACACACACACACACACACACACACACACAGACATCATCGCGAAAATAGTCAAAACGGATTCAGGGGACCTCAAAACGTAAAAATCCGTCGAAAACTCGAGGTCGAAAAAAATCATGATTCCTATACTTTCCTTATATCTGTATACAGATAGGAAAGTAATTACAATTTTTGATTTATGACGTTCTTGCAAAAAAAGAGCGATATGTATATGTTTGTAAAACAAAAGCAATGATGAGACAGGCTGGATGGGGTCGTCTTAACCGCTACAAAATGTATAAACTGTACAGTATTCTGTAAATACATATTGTACATTACATATGTATGTATATTCGTTCATTAAGATACATAAATTAGTTCATATTTATTAATGGTTTTATTTATCTGCTCAATTATTTAACCACAAAAGTGAATTAATAATGGTTTTAGCAAGGTTTCTTTTTATAAACTCAATCGACCTTTCTTGGGTTCTTTTTTAAAATTTTAACATTTTTGTTAAAGGATCCGGTCACAATTAATCCGGATTATCGACGCTCTAATATAGAAATCTCCAAAATACGGCCCGCGTAGCAAATCCGGCACGCGACAGCTAATAGCTTATTGTTGCTATGATAAATTGGATAAAAAAACAGAATGATAATACCTCTAATTTATTTACTTGCTAGGTATAGCTTAATGACAAGTATAATATGCAGAAAATTCAGCCTAAGCACAACAATTAACAAATAATTGAACTAAATCCCACTAACATTATAAACTAGTGAACATTCCGCGGTTTTACCCTCGGTAGTTATGTTGGTTGGGGTATCGTATATGTATGTATATCGATGTTTGGAATGTATATATCTTGGAATCACACATATAATTTTTATCCTGAAAATCACTCAGGAACGGAAATGAATCAATGCGAATGAAACTGCGGGGTGTCCACTTGTAAAAAATACTAATAAAATTTATGTAATTGTGATTTTCCACTGACAATAGTTTATAGCTGTGGGCCAATTTTACTTGTAACAATTATTAAAAGAGATTTAAGATGCTCATCGGTTAACTTAGATCAGTAAAGATTCTCTGTGTAC